ACTAACTAACACCAAATGAAGAGATTTTATGGAGTAGAACCAAGTTTATGTGATTGTTTTGGAAGATTTGAGCTAGATGGAAGCTAGAAATGGGAAGAGTTTTCTTTCTTCTTTGCTCAAGAGAGAGCCGGCCATGGAGGAGAAGAAAAGAGTGAATTTTTGTAATTTTTTTGTGAGATATTTAACTAAATGGTAAAAGTCAAAAAGGTCAATAGTTGTCTAACAAGTCCAACCAATGAGATAGTGACACTTGTCACTCCATTTAAAGCATCTCTATCCTTTTATTCTCTCTCTCAACAATCACATCACAACCTCTACTTATCTCTTAACACCCGATAAATTTTACACAGTATCCGAAACTTAACCTTATTGGCCGAATTTTTTCGAACTTTTAGCACTAGTGGGTCCCACGTCCGATATACGTTCTTAATTTCTCAAAACCTAACCGATACTTGAAAACTCATCTAAAACCTATATTTACTCAGAAAAATTATCTGGGGAAATTTCCAATAAAGAAAAATGTAGAAAAGGCGGGCGATAAAAACCCGAAACCACCCCACCGATTAACGAATAACCCTCATATCAGCTTACGAACGGACTGGGGCCTCACAGATACTATTCGAGTATGCCAAGCAAGACCTCTCATTAGGTCAAGCTTATATATCTCATGGTTTGCCAAGGTTCCCGACCAAGCCCATGCCGGCTCGAGTCCAAGGTCGGCCAATGAGATTTGGGCGTCCCCCATGTGCACTTGTGTGTCGAGGAGATTCACTCCAACGACGTATGCAGCTAGCATACCAATACATTTCATTCATTCAATACATTTCAATCATTAAAATTTCATTTCTAATGAGAACGAGTGTGATAAAGTACACACTCGACTCCACTTTCAAGATTTCCAATCATTAATAACAATTAAACATGTAACAAGTTTACATACACCTGACACTCACCAAATATTAGGTGTGAGTAAGGTCAAGGGAAGTTCAAGCGTCCACCGGGGAATCCTCCTGAAGGTCCTCGTGTGTGTCTGAGCAAATAATAGTGAATTTATCATTCACATCCCAAATATTGAGGAATAATTCGTTCACTAGCATTAATCGAGGGAATTCCGTGAAAATGAATCTCAATTACTCGTAAATCGAGGTTCGAGTGGGGTTTGATAACGTTCAAAAGTATTTAAGTCTTTATCTAGGAAATCGGGGATAAAACGTTTAGATAATATCAAAAGAATAAAGAGTTTTTCGAAAAAACTCTATTTCCTTGAAATTGGAAAATTTTAGTTTTATTATGAATCTTTGAAAAATCGTAACTCACTCGGCACAAGTCAAGAATTGGAAAACTTTATACCGTTGGAAACCTCTTAGAAAGTACTATAAGTTCCTAGAAGACATTTTTCCACGAATCGAAGTGGAAAGTGCTCAAAAATGAGCTTGAAGGTACAGACTCGGTTTACAAGGCAGAATTAAGTTGGATTTCGGCCAACTTTGAAAATTCGTCACGATTCACACGTTGCAAATCGGCCTCTGAAATTTGTAACTCAATTAGATTTGCAAGTGAGGTTTATAGCAAAACAAGCGGATCAAGAATCGGAGTTTCGAGTACCGAGATATGGTAGCTCAAAGTTGGGGGAATTCAAGACTGGAGAAGAATTTCCAGATTTGAACCTCCAACACTAGAAATTTAATTAGGTATCGAAACGAACTTGGATTGGTACCAAAATTGGCAGTATTTTACTCCTATATGAAAGGTATTTCTCTATCAAATTTCAGGGAAAAATACCCTCGGGAAGGTAGTTAACTAATCATCCAAAGTTCCGGAAAATTTCTAAGGCAATCTGCCTTTTGACTTACATTTTCCCAATTCAAATCGTTTAATCAAGAAAGCTATCCAACCAAGTTTAAGATACATCCATGATACCTTTGGTGATGGTTTAGCATCAAAAATTCAATTAATAAGATCACTCCCGGGTTTTGACCCAAACCAGTCCAAATATTACGTTTTTCCAAAACAGGGCAGTCCTCTTGTTTTGGTCACAACTCCGTCAATTTAACTCGGAATTGAGCATGGTTTATGACTTTGGAAAATAATTTCATAGGACTAAAAGTTCACAGAAGGAAACATTCTGAAATTTGGCAAGCAACCAGCTCGAAATTGAGTCTCAAGTTGCTGCCTCTACAAACCATTCCAGCAGATCCGAGAGACAGGACAGCTATCTTAAAACGAATGGTTCGGCTCCTACACATGGAATCAGAATACACATTTTATACCGTTGGAAAGGTATGGATGTCTAGTTTCGAATGCCACCGATGGTACTCAATTTCGACGTCGAAGGACAAAGTTATGGTCAAAATGCTACCGCTGGACAGGATTATCCGAAAATAATTTTCCAGCTTGCCTGGTTCACGAATAAATTCATTTGCCCATCTAAACGTTAATGTTTTCCAATGAAAATTTTTACACATATAACATAACATATAAACATCAGGTTCACACCAATAAATCACCAAAAATTGGCCTTATCATGGCCGAACAAAACAGGGGCAGTTTCGGAAGTTTCTTGTCATGACTTCAACTTTGAGTTTCCAACAATAATACTCCATAAATCCATCATTTTAACCACTAAACTACCATTAAATCCAACATTAATCCTCTAATCAGCAACAACCCAAGTGTGGGAATTCAAAGAGCCCACTTTTCAAATTTTCCAACAATATCAAGCCATCCATACACATGCAATAGCTTAAAGATGTATTTCTACCATCATAATCCAAGTTTAAGGTGTAGGATGAGGTTATACCTCCTTAGAGCTTTAAACCAGAAATTTTCGGTCCTCAAGAGGCTCCAAGAAACCGTGAAATGCAGCCCTTTAGTTAGCTAGATCCAACCTCCAAGTAGTTTGCTAGATGGTCTTCAAGTTTGGTGAAGATTGATTGAAGTTTTGTGGTTAATTTGATGAAGAAACTTGTGAAGCAAGGGAGTGAGAGAGAGGGAAGGCTGGCCGGCTGTTGGTGAGAGAAGGAAGAGTGAAATTTTGATCAAAGTTAGCTTCCAAGAGAAGATTAAAATGAGTGGTGTAAATTCACTCCAAAGTCAACCCTCATTAGGGCTCGTTTGGTGCGTTTGGGGCTCGATTTCTCTCGCGTTTGGGGCTCGATTTCTCTCGCGTTTGGTTCACTAGTGCACTAAACCTCTAATGTACTTATGTTCATATAAATATTATTCACTCTTAATTGTCTCGAAATAAGGGTCTAAAGTTCCTCAAATAAAGCCGCGCGTGTGAAAACGCGTACCGACAATTTTAACGCTATTACGCGAAACCTCCAAAAAATTCTTATAACGATAATACTATTAACTATCACTTAAGTACTTAAATCTAAAATTACCTATTTTAAAGCCGTTGTACATGTCCCAAAATTTCCGGGCTAATTGTACTCCTAATTGGCAAAAATTCTCCAAACGTATTTTCATCTTTTCTCTAAACAAGCTCCTAAGAAAAATAATTTTTGAAACGAGACACTTTAAAAATATAACGAAATTATATTGTCATGTATTTAGGTCTATTGAGACTAGAAAATATTCCTCGTGGTAAAAATCCAATTAGATAATTTATTAAGCCATAAATTAGGTTTAAAAAATAATAGTTTTTACGAGTCCTCACATTTTCTCCAGCCAAATAGAGTTTCAATCTTTGACCATTCACTTTGAATGGGGCATCATTTTCTCCTTTTATTTCCACTGCTTCATAAGGAAACATGCGAACCACTTCAAATGGCCCGGACCATCGAGATTTAAGCTTTCCAGGGAATAATTTAAGCCTTGAATTAAACAATAACACCTTTTACCCTTCTTCAAAATGCTTAGGAAGAATATGTTTATCATGCCAAAATTTCACTTTTTCTTTGTAAATCTTAGCATTCTCATATGAGGTTAACCGCGATTCCTCCAATTCGCTTAACTCAAGCATTCTCTTTTCACCTGCAGATTTAAAATCAAAATTAATAGCCTTAACAGCCCAATAAGTTTTATGTTCTATTTCTATAGGTAAATGACACGCTTTCTCATAAACAAACTTATATGGAGACATTCCCAACAGCGTTTTAAATGCCGTTCTATATGCTCATAAAGCATCTTCAAGCTTGTTTGACCAATCCTTTCTCGATCGGTTGACCGTTTTCTCCAAAATGATTTTAATTTTTCGATTGGCCAATTCCGCTTGACCATTGGCTTGCGGATGATAGAGAAGTGACTTTTTATGCCCGCATCCATATTTAAGTAACAAGGTGTCAATAATTTTATTATAAAAATGCTTACCTTCGTCGCTTATTATTACCTTTGGGACTCCAAACCTGCAAAATATGTTCCGTTTAAAGAATTTAAACACAACTTTAGCATCATTAGTTTGTGAAGGAATGGCCTCTACCCATTTAGAGACATAATCAACTGCTAAAAGGATGTACTTATTATTATATGAACTAGAAAATGGTCCCATAAAATCAATGCCCCAAACATCAAATAACTCAACTTCTAAATATGTAGTTAAAGGTATTTCATTCTTTCTTGAAATATTACCGATTTTTTGGCATTGATCACAACTTTTAACCCAATTTCTAGTGTTTAGGTACATAGTAGGCCAATAAAATCCAGATTGCCATATCTTTGCTACGGTTTTAGTAGTACTAAAATAACCTCCGGTTTCAAGGGTATGACAATGCATTAAAATACTATATACCTCTTCTTCCGGAACACATTTTCTAATTATTCCATCTGCACAATATTTGTAAAAGAATGGTTCCTCCCAAAAGTAATGTTTAGCATCATTTAAGAACTTTTTCCTTTGATGAGAATTCAAATCACTTGGTATCACTCCACTAACTACAAAATTAACTAGATCAACATACCATGGTGACTTATAAATTGCCATTAAAAACTCATCTGAAAATTCTTCTTTAATGGTTGAATGATTTTCTTGAGGTATGTTTTCCAGTCTAGAAAGATGATCAGCGACTAAATTCTCGGATCTTTTTTTTATCTTTGATCTCCAAATTAAATTCCTGCAATAATAGAATCCATCGAATTAGTCGAGGTTTTGCATCTTTCTTATTTAACAAATATTTGAGTGCTGCATGATCGGTATAAATGATAACTTTAGATCCTACTAAATAAGATCTAAACTTATCTAATGCAAATATCACTGCTAGCAATTCCTTCTCTGTTGTTGCATAGTTAACTTGGGTTTCATTTAGCATTTTACTTGCATAATAAATGACATGAAGTCGTTTATCATGGTTTTGCCCAAGAACAGTCCCGACTGCAAAATCACTTGCATCACACATTAATTCGAATGGCAAGTTCCAATCCGGTGATGTTATTATGGGTGTGAAGACAAATTCCTTCTTCAACCTATTAAAAGCAAGTAAACACTCATCATTAAAGTGAAAAGGAACATCTTTTGCAAGTAATTCACATAAAAGTTTAGCAATCTTGGAGAAATCCTTAATAAATCGCTGATAAAATTTCACGTGTCTAAGAAAGTTTCGAATGCCTTTCACATTGGTAGGCGGAGGCATTCTCTCGATAACTTCTATCTTGGTGTGATCTATCTCAATACCTTCTGAAGAAATTTTATGGCCTAGCACAATACCCTCACAAACCATGAAGTGACATTTTTCCCAATTGAGTACAAGGTTTGTTTCTTCACATCTCTGCAAAATTAGATCTAAATTGTTAAGACAATCATCATAAGTAGATCCAAATACAGAAAAATTATCCATGAAGATTTTCATAATTTTCTCATTAAAATCAGAGAAAATTGCCATCATGCACCGTTGGAAGGTGGCCGGTGCATTGCACAGTCTAAAAGGCATTTTTCGAAATACAAAAGTGCCGTAAGGACAAGTGAATGTAATCTTCTCTTGATCTTCCGATGCAATGACTATTTGATTGTATCCTGAAAAATCATCCAAGAAACAATAAAATTCATAACCAGCCAATCTTTCTGCCATTTGATCAAGAAAAGGAAGAGGAAAATGATCCTTTCTAGTAGTTGCATTCAGTTTTAATCAATACAGACTCGCCAACCAACTACAACTCTAGAGGGAATCATTTCATCATTTTTACCATGTACTATGGTTACCTCCCCTTTCTTTGGCACTACATATATAGGAGAAATCCAAGCACTATCAGAAATTAAAAAAATTATACCTGCATCCAGCCATTTAAGAATTTTTACTCTTACCACTTCTTTCATGTTTAGAATTTTCTTCCAATAAAATTCTGTGCATACAAATAGTTGGATTAATTTCTTTAACATTAGAAATTGTCCATCCTATAACCTTCAAATGCTTCCTTAAAACACGCAATAGCTTATCTAATTGGTCCTCATCTAATTCTGCATTGACGATCACCGGCAATGTCTCTTTTTCTCCAAGAAACGCGTATTTGAGGTGCTTAGGCAGCGGCTTAAACTCAAATTGTGGTGCTTGCTCACATAATGGTGGCGGTAGCCCTTTACTCAGTCCTAACTCCTCATATGCATTTCTCCTTTTGTAAGGAACCCGTGCCTGCAAAAATTCAATCATTTCTTCAACTTGCTCCTCTTGTAAGCCTACACCATTACGACAAAGTTCAAGAGAATCGTTATCAAGATTAACTTGACTCATTTCTAATGCCAATTCATCACATATACCAACAGAATAAACATGATCGGTAAAAGAGGGATATTTCTCCACTTTATTCAAATCAAATTCCACTTCCTCTTCACCGATTTGAAACTTAAACTTATCTCGTTTGACATCTATTATTGTACCTGCAGTGGCCAGAAATGGTCTACCAAGTATAATAGGTACATTTACATCTTCTTCCATATCTAAAACAACAAAATCAACAGGAATAATGAATTTTTGTACTTTAATGAGTACATTCTCCAATACGCCCATTGGATGTCTAATAGACCTGTCAACCAATTGCAAGGAAATGTTAGTACGCTTTAACTCTTTCAACCCTAATTGCCTAGCCACAGTTAAAGGAATCAATGAAACACTTGCACCAAGATCACAAAGTGCTTTAGAAAATTCTACATTACCGATAGTGCAATGAACTGTGAAACTCCCCGGATCTTTCAACTTTGGTGGTAATTTATTTTGTATGATTGCACTACATTCTTCCGCTAATGCAATTGTCTCATTATCTACCAACTTCCTTTTCTTGGTCATTATCTCCTTGAGAAATTTTGCGAAATTTTGCATATGACGGAATCTGCAAAATAGCATCAACAAAAGGTATATTAATATGTAATTGTTTGAAAATGTTGACAAACTTCTCAAATTTTTTGTCATTTCTCGAAAGCTTCAATCTTTGAGGGAATGGCACCGGTGGAGGAATTGGTATTGTATCTCCTATTTGTGGTTCATTTTTCTCCATCTTTTCTTTCCCTTTGATTTTCTTGCCATCCTCTCCTAATTCACTCAATTTCTTATTTTCTCTTCTTTCAAACTCTCTTCCACTTTCAACTACCGGTGACTCACCTAATTCCTTACCACTACGGAGGGTTATAGCCTTCACATGTTCTCTTGGGTTCACCTCAGTCTTGTTAGGTAAGTCCCATTGGTTGCGATTGTTAACCGCATTAGCAATTTGGCCTAATTGAACGTCAACATTCCTGTACATATTGGTGAGTTGGTCCATCATTCCTTCAATTCTTTCAAACCGTTGAGTAGTGGCACTGGTTAACTTTTCAATTTTATCATTTGATACATTTGCCAGCTTCTCAATTATCAATTCCCAAGCTGCTTTGGACTCCTGCAGTGGTTATTTCGGTTGAAAATTCGATGGATTAACTGGTCTTTGTTGGTTCCCTTGATCCTTCAATCCAAAATTCAGGTGATTTCACCATCTAGGATTATAGGTATTGGAGTATGGATTATTTTGGGGTGAACGGTTGTAATTGTTGGGATATTGAACCTGTTCACTGTTAGAACACATAAAATCATCATGATCTCCGTCGCAAGTGGTACAACATGCAACAACTATTCCTTGATTAGAACTAGCACCAACATGCCTATTAAGTATCTTAACCACATTATTCATTTTTGCACTTAACATATTCAAGGTATCTACTTCGAGCATACCTGCGGTTCTCCTTGTATTACCTCGTTCGTTTGTCCATTGATAGTTGTTAGCAGCCATTTCTTCGATCAATTGTTGAGCTTCCTCAGTTGTCTTTCCCATCAAAGCTCCTCCCGCTGCTGCATCTACATGCGTCTTTGTTGGATCGGTGAGACCATTGTAAAATGTTTGGACTACTAGCCAATCTGGTAGACCATGATGAGGACATCTTCGTTACAATTCCCGATAGCGCTCCCAAGTTTCGTACAATGTCTCTCCTTCCTGTTGAGAGAAACTAGTTATATCCATTCTCAATTTAGCAGTTTTTCCAGGTGGAAAGAATTTATTAAGAAAAGCCTTAGCTAATTCATCCCAAGTTGTAAAAGTATTTGGAGGATGAGATTGTAACCAAACCCTAGCCTTATCCCTTAGTGAAAATGGAAACAATTGAAGTTTAATTGCATCATCACTAACACCATTAAACTTAATTGTATCATAGATTTCAAGAAATGTTGACAAGTGAGAATTTGGATTTTTGGTAGCATTACCTCCATATTGAGATTGTTGTACCATTTGAATCAGTGATGGTTTAATCTTAAAATTATTAGCATTTACCGTTGACCTTACGATGCTAGTTTGAGAACCTTGTATTCCTGGTACAGCAAAATCTCACAGAATTAGCCTATTTTGTTCATTTTTTGCCATTTCTTCCTCAAATGGTAATTCTATCAAAATTTTCTTTATCGACCCCCAAACCTCTTATTCCTCTTGGTGTGGTATATTCCTCCTTTGTCTCCTTAGTGTCCCCTCAATTTTAGGATCGAAAAGTGTAACTTCTCGATTTGATCGGTGCATACACTACAAATAAAAACAAGAGAAATTTTTGCAGATTTAATTCAACAACTTGAATAAAAATAATGAAAATATCTAAATTAATAGAGATGATTAGGCCCTAATATTGCCGCTCTCCGGCAACGGCGGCAAAAACTTGACGAAATTTTTATATCAATGTAAGTTTAAATCCGATTTTACATCCGTTGGACTGCAAGTGTACAGGTCGAAATTGTAATACAAGGTGTGTATCGGGTCGATTCCACAAGGAGCAAATTAACCAATTACTAGGTCCTCATTTTCTCTATTATTTAGACTATTGAATGAATTTGAGCAAGGAAACGTAATACAAATGTCTACAAATCTGATCTGCAATTCTATTTTAACAAATGCTAAATTTAAATGGAGAAATTTCACTTAAGGAAGACTCTAGGGATGTAGATTCTACTTATGGCATAAACAACACAAATGAATGGATTTGCCTCTTGTTATTCTTCTTGTTTAACCAGAGATTCATTTCCAAAATTACCAAGTCTTATTTTCATGATGAAATGGCCTAGAGCAATATAGTTTTCCCTATTTTCATGGTGAAATGCTACTACTACTCTGTTTTATTTCATGAAATGCTAAATAATCCACCTAAGTGTATCTCTATTTTCATGAACATACAACTTAAGCTCTACTCATGTGTTTCCATTGTTACTACCAATTCTCATTGAATAATAACAACTATAAACATGCTATTGGTGATCAATCAATAACAAGTAATCACAGCTACACAAGTAGATAAGTTAATACAAGATATAACAAGTTTAAATCACATTCAATTAGTATTATTTAGCCATAAGTTTCATCTACTCCCTAAATTAAGAAAATTAGCTACTCATGAATGATTTAACAATCAAACTCATAAGTTTATTAAGGCAAAACACCATAAAGTACAAGTACGAGAAAGACAAAAGAAAGCTTAGCCAATTGATGGTGAAGACCTCCAATTCCTGCTATGCTCTTGCACAATATGATTACAAGTGAAAACTCCAAAATGTTTCTCCAAGAACTCCTAACTAGAGAGAAAATATTACAAGAAGGAAAACTAGCTACGTATGGTCTCTCTGGCTTCTCCCCTGTGTTTCTGCATAAAAAGTGGTAGAAAGTCTATTCCTCTTACTTCATAATTTTCTCCACTCAGATTTTGTAAAAAGAAGTCAAAGATATGATGTTTCCTTTTGTCTACAACTCATTTGGTCTTCTCTTTTGTTGCAGAAGCATGTGCCACCGATTTCTGTCCCTCAAAATAGCTGAAAAAGTTGTGAGAAAGGTAAAGAAAAATGACTGTGCCACTTGCTGAAGAGAGAGATAGATCCGAGCCTCAGATTCGAGGGGTGAAAATGGATCCGAGGCCTTTTTCTGAAGGATCCGAGTTCGGATCGTTTGTCCTCGGATACACTGCTCCAGAAGTGCAGACGAGGGCTCGGATCGCCCCTTGTTCACACGGATTCGAGCTCGGATCCGTGTTGATCAAATTTTCAGTTTTTCCCTTCTTTCCTTTTTCTACATTTTTGCTCCCAATTTCTTTTGTACTTTGTACTCCGGATGATCCTTACATTTCTTTCAACTCGTGCATGAATATCATACATCAATAACCTTCACAATTTCATAAAATTAACGCATTAATCCACTTATTTATCAAGTTTTGAATGCTTAAACAATATTTAAGCAATTATCACTCAAAGAGTTCAAATATGGTTTTAATCTTCTCAAAACATACCAAAAGTTCATACCAAATTGTTACAAAATATAGGTTAAATATTCACTTATCACTTTTCCTCACATTCCTATAAGGACACTTGCTGGTTTGTGTCATTATAGCACTGCTATCATGATACTTATTTCCAACTCAATAATATATAATCTAATTTTTTTTTATTTTATCAGATATAAAAATAATAATGTGCCTTTAGACTACCTAACATGACACTTAAGAAAATGTGAGATGTACAAAAAAAAAGAAAGACACAAAACGGTATCGTTTGATTTTGGCAGAAGATTCATTTGCTTAAAATACTAAAAATTTTCATTCTGCCGGCCAAAACACTTAGTCAAAACACTTGCTCAAAATTTTCATTTTCCGGCTCCACCATTTCCAGCCCCCTTTCCCCCTCTCTGTCCCTGTTCTCAGATTCCGACATAGTTGGTAGGAAAAATACGTAGCAGCCAGGCAGCAGTTTCGTTCCGACGTAGTTGGTCTGGGTATCGGCGCCACCGTCCTCAACTCCTCCCTCTACATTGTCGACGGAGGGCAGCGGGCTGTCCTCTTCGACCGGTTCCATGGTGTCATCGATGACACCATTGGAGAGGGTACTCACTTCCTCATCCCCTGACTCCAGAAGCCCTTCATCATTGACATCCGTACCCGTCCCCACACGATTCCAATTACGATTAGCCCCACCTTCATCTTCATCATTAGGATCTTCCAAGCATCGGACCCTGTGATTGGAGCTCCGATTTCCATAAAGCTTCAACCGTGGCTCCCTCAGGCAGCCAATAGCAGCATCAGCAACAAAATCTTCTCGAAGGAAACCCACTTCCGGGTCATCATCTTCTTCTTGTTCGAATTCGGCTCAACAAATTTCTCCCCTGACTCGAATAGTTTATCGAGAATCGTCTTTCAAGTCCGATCTCAGTTTGCTCTTTTGGCAAACTACCTGGTTCATTGGCTTACTTTTACTAATGGCAATCTCGTTTTTCGGTCTCGCCATTTTCTTTTTTCTTACCCTTGACTCTGATTTCACCTCTTTCCCCGTCTCTGCCGCTTCCGAAGGCGTCCAGGTAAACTGAAAGCCCACTTACTACTTCAAATTCATGATTTTTACGTTCCTGTAGTTGCACAGATATGCGGTGCATCTTTGTGTGTGTGCTTTTCCCCCTATTTGTTGAAATCGTACGCGGAAAGTTGTTTTATAGTTATTTTTTGTTCAAAATTTTGACCAAGTTTGTGCTATTATAGGCATGTGATGGTTATAAATTCTAGCGTTTCAGAGGTTTCTAAGCTGAAAGAGGACAGGGAAAGAGGAAATGGAGTTGTTTGTGTAGAATTAGTAATAGCCTTTGACATGTTTGATGAAATGCCTCGATAATCTTTATTAAAAATCTAGCTGGGTGTCAGTTAAAAATTGCAATTTGGATTTTTTAAAGAGCTGATTTATGAATTAAATTTGATTTTTTTCCTATTTTATAGTTTGAGGTTTTTGTTGTATGGCAAAATAAAAAATGGTGTATGATGCTTTGAGTTCTAATAGTTGTATAATGGGGCATTGTGCTAAGTCATTCTTATTTTGTTCGGCATATGTGATTTTGGTAGATTACTTATGGGTCAGTGATCAAGTTGATGCATGAGAGAACAAAGTTTAGGCTGCATTCGCATGATGTACCATATGGCTTTGGTAGTGGGCAGCAGTCCGTCACTGGTTTTCCCGACGTTGATGACTCAAACAGCTATTGGGTATGTTTCTTTTTCTAGCATCTATTTTTTTCTAGATCATCATAATTTTCTAAGGTTAGGTATGATTAAACTTGGCTTGCAGATTGTTAGACCTGTATCAGATACCAACGCCCAACAAGGGGATACAATCAAAGGTGGTACCATCATCAGGCTGCAACACATGAGGACCAGAAAATGGTTACATAGCCACTTGCTAAATGTAAGTCTTACAATGATGCCTATTGCTGTTATGCCTTATGCAATTAATCTTCTTATCAGTAAATAGCATGTAATGGGTAAAAACCACTATGCCTTATGAACTTATGTTGATAGTTACTAGGCCGCTCACAGTCTGTTTATCAGCTTCTAAAACCATGATACTTCTCTTTCTTGCGACAGATTCATAACTGATTCTACAATAATGTACTTCCTTGGTTCCGGATAAGCATTCTGGTTTGTGTTTTCTTGCTAGTGCTCAACATTTGTGTAGATGACAGTAGATTGTTAGAAGAAAAATTTCTTTCCTGATAGGGTCCTTGAGACTCATTTGCATTAAAAACCATGAAAACGTTATTGATTGTTCCGTATATACTCCTTTATCTTTCCATTTCCTTGGTCCTGCAGTCTTTTGTTGTCAAAATCATGCTTATATCTTGTTCTTCCTCTGTTTTGCAGTAGCATTTGATAGAAGAACTTTTAGCCTACAAGATATAAGTGAGCTGTTGAGAGTCGATTGACTTTCTTGATGTGTAATTCATGTCGTGTAAATGAATGCTAGTTACGCTTTTAGCTCCTTCTCATTAGCTTACCA